AACAAGAAACCAACACAAATTTTTATTCCATTTCTATTCTTTATTTTAACTACAATGGTAGAATTGTGACAAGAAGAGTGGAAGGAAAAATGAAAGATGATGATGGGTAACACCACAAAAATAAATTCTACCTAGTTAACAAATCACTTGCACATGTACATTCATGGGACCAAGAGCTAGCAAAGAAGTAGAAAGAATGAAACTCTGCTGCACATACATTGCAGTTGGAAGTTGATTTTATTTGCAATCACTGTTTTTCAGGCTGCCTTGACTGAAATATACAGTCAGTGTCAAAGGTATTACCAAGTTTCACAAGCAGCTAATGACTGGTTGGAGGATGCCCAAGAAATGTTACAGCTGGCAGGCAATGGCTTAGATGTGGAGAGTGCAGAGGAAAATCTCAAAAGCCATGTGGAATTTTTCAGTACCAAGGATCAGTTCGGTAGTCATCTGGGGGAGCTCCAAGGCCTCGTGGCCAGGCTGGATCCACTCATCAAGTCAACTGGCCGAGAAGATCTTGCACAGAAAATAACTTCCCTGGAAGACAGGAGCCAGAGGATCACCCAGGATGCCCAGGCCCAGTTAGACCTCTTGCAGAGGTATTTAGATTGGTTTGATGCTTTGTATTTCAGCAAAGTGAGTTTTCGTACAGAAAATAGTAATATACAACGGTGTACACTAGTGTGTTCATTCATTTCCCAAGGGTCTTTAGGCACCCACACACCAAACTTCTGTGTAAAAAGGCAATTTCGTGTTGTTTATTGATTTCTGTTGGAATCTTTAAAGATGTACAGTGCAGTGGCAAGATTATCAGAAAGCAAGGGAAGAGGTTATTGAATTGATGAATGATGCCGAAAAGAAATTGTCTGCATTTTCTTTGTTGAAGACATCTTCCAGTCATGAAGCGGAAGAAAAATTGTCACAACATAAGGTCAGATTTTTGTGTGTGTGTAGTTTTTATAAAAAATATTTATTAGAAATTACCAGTACTGGGGCTGGGGAGATTGCTTAATAGAATAAGCCCTTGCCTGGCAAGGACAAGGGCTTGAGTTCAATCCCTGGTTCTGCAAAAATAAAAGAGTTACCAGTACCTAATGTTTACATTTGGTTCAGGAGAAGGATACATGTAATTAACATGTATTAATCTTTTTCTGCCTTTCTTTTCCCTCCCTCCCTCCTTTCCTTCCAGGAAGGCATTTATGCCATCAAGCTATCTCCCAACCCCAGTTATATGATATTTTAGCTTGTGTACCTAACATTTCATTTAGCAATATAGTCTCAAGGTGCATCCATTTTCCTAAAAATAGTTCAAATGTATCCTTCTTTGTGACAGAATAGTACTACCTTATTAAAAGATAGCATTTCTTGATTCATTCATCTGCTGATGGACATGTGAACAACTTCCAGGTTTTGGTTGTTATGAGCTGCCCTACTGTAAATATGAGTATGCAGGAATCACTCTTTCCTTAAAATATATTTTAATTATAATTGGAATGGCTTTTTGAGCAGTGGCTGTAAAAGCAAATCATTACACCTCCTTTCCATTTGTTTCCTTAAATGTAATAGAAAATTAATCGCATTTCATACAAGTTTCTATATAATTGAATGCTGCTGATCTTTTGGGGAATCTCACTGCAAATACACAGCTAAAATTCAGAGACATTGAGAGAAGTTTTCTTCTGGTACAATGTGGCACTTAGTAAATGTCAGTAAATACTTTCTGTACATAATTTAAATAAAATTCAAGCAGAAATGACTGAGTCCTTCTTACCTGTCACAGCAATATCAGAAAGACGAACACACCAAAGTAGCAAATTCTGTTAGCTTGTATTTTGTTGCTATTTAAAAATGGGGAAAATGGCATCTTGGGTAGTAAATAAGCTTTTGTTTTGTTTTGTTTTCTTGGTTTTTGTTTTTTGGTGGAAC